GGAAGCCTTCTAATAGATTCCCTGCCTTTAGGCTTTTCCCAGCTGCAGTCCATTTTGTACATTGCCATCAGCTTAATCCTCCTAGAAAATCCTGCTCCTAAATCTTAAGCAACTCTTAGCTGCCTACCGGCAAGGTCCAAATCCACTAGTATGGCATTCACTAGTGCAGACTCCCACTTTCTGACCTCTGTCTTTTTGTCTTTAGGTCCCAAGATCTGTCCAACCTTTTTAATGTTCTAATGTTCACATGTTCCACATCCAGACTTTCATTTTCCACCTCTACTAGAGCTCACAGCTTTCTTCTCCCTGCCTGGGATAGGGACAGGGAAGGAACTTTAGCTTGCTTTTTAATTTTTTTCCTCTTATTAAATATTTATTTATTTAAAGATATTTTTAAGATTTATTTATTTGCAGGGGGAGGGGCAGAGGGAGAGTCTTAAGTAGACTCCATGTTGAGCACAGAGCCCCACTCAGGGCCTGCGATCACAACCTGAGCCAAAATCAAGATTTGGAGGCTCGACTGACTGTGCAACCCAGGTTCCCCAAAGATTTTATTTTTTTTAATAATCTCTATACCCAGTGTGGGGCTCTAACTGACAACCCCAAGATCAAGAGTTGCATGCTGGGATCCCTGGGTGGCTCGGCGGTTTGGCGCCTGCCTTCCGCCCAGGGCATGATCCTGGAGACCCGGGTTCGAGTCCCACGTCGGGCTCCCTGGGTGGAGCCTGCTTCTCCCTCTGCCTTGTCTCTGCATCTCTCTCTCTCTCTCTCTCTCTCTCTCTCTCTCTCTCTGTCTCTCATGAATGAATAAATAAAAAAAAAAAAAGAGTTGCATGCTCTACCGACTGAGCCAGCCAGGTGCCCCCCCCTTTAAATAGCTTTATGAGGAATAATTTTATACAAAGAACTGCATATTTAATATGTACACTTTGATACATCTGCACATATGCAGACACCTGTGATACCATCATCATAATCATAACTTTCTTTTATAAACAACAGCTAACAGATTGTGAGTGCTCATATGGTTCAAAAGTCAAATAATACAAAAAGATATGTCCCCATCTCCCAGCCTGCTCTCTATTCCACTTACACTGACCCTCTCTCTTGATAACCCCTTTTGTTTCTTGTATCTCATTTCAGGGTATTGGTATGAATATAAGCATATATTCTCATTTTCCCCCTCATTTAAAATCCATGTGTGAAAGGAAACATGCTATACATACTGTTCTTCACCTTGCTCTTTTATCAAGTTATCTTAAGTGATCTCTCTGTATAAGCACATAAACATTTCCTCACTCTTTGTTTTTTTCTTTATGGCTTCATAGTATTCCATGATATTCTTGTACCAAAATTTATATAGTGCCTGGTCCATGGACATAGTCATATTGCATACGGGCAAGCTTATCTAGAATTGTTGGGCCAAAGGGTATACGTTCTTTGAAGTTTAGGTAGATGTTGTTAAAATACTTTTTAGATTTCTTGATTGATGATTTTTGTAAAGATGTTATTTATTCTATTTTTATTTATTTGAGGGGGGGGGGAAGTGAGGAGAGAGGGAGCAGAAGGAGAGGGACAAGCAGACTCTGTGCAGAGTCCAACATAGGGCTCAATCACATGACCCTGAGATCAGGACCTGAGCAGAAAACCAGGAGTCAGATGCTTAACCAACGAGCCACCCAGGCACCCCATTGATTGATGATTTTTAAGTATGAAATGAGCGCCCAAATTGCACTTGCCCTGATTCCCCCAAGCCAAAATTTGCTGTCCTCCTAATCTCTTTTGGTGCATTTCTGCATCACTCACACAACAATGCTAGCCTCCTCTGCATGTGTGTTCATACATGTTATTTCTCTACCCAGAGCGAAAGAGGTCAGGTCTTTATCTCACATCCTCAGAACCACTCCAGTACCCTATGGACACATCTGCTCATGGATCAAGTATTCATGTCTTTTGTACAAGAAGAGAAATCTCTGCTTCGGACCTGAAAATAAGATAGTTGCCTGCTGGTCCTTGTTAGTATTTCATTGAAACAAAGCTCTGGGCAGCCCAGGTGGCTCAGTGGTTTAGCACTGCCTTCAGCCCAGGGCGTGATCCTGGAGACCCGGGATCAAGTCCCATGTCGGGCTCTTTGTATGGAGCCTGCTTCTCTCTCTCTGCCTCTCTCTCTGTGTCTCTCATGAATAAATAAATAAAATCTTTGAAAAAAGAAAGAAAGTTCTGTGGAGGGCAAATAGTCCCAGGCAGGCACCACAAGTCTAATTTAAAAATATTTATTGACCACCAGAAGTGTAAAGACTCATGTGAAAGGTTGGAGAGGAAACAGAATGAATAAGACACAGGACTGGTCCTCATGAACCTTTTCCCCAAGGTTATTTGGCCTGTACAGTGTTGTAAACACTTCAAAAACTTTTATAATTGGGATATTGCATATATAAAAGTACACAGATCTTTTTTTTTTTAATATTTATTTACTCATGAGAGACAGAGAGAGGCAGAGACACAGGCAAAGGGAGAAGCAGGCTCCATGCAGGGAGCCTGATGTGGGACTCGATCCCGGGACTCCAGGATCACACCCTGGGCCAAAGGCAGGCGCTAAACTGCCGAGCCACCCAGGGATTCCCAAAGTACACAGATCTTAAATATGCAGCTGGAATGATCACAAAATGTGCTTGAAACATTTTTAGTTAGTCACCAAAACTTAAAAAGCTCTTGAAAAACCAGCAGTGGTAGTAGTTTCCCCCTTAGGGTATTTATTCTCCAATTTTGCTGTTCCCTATTATCCCTGGTCCTCAATAAAGTAGGATGCCCAGGTATCCGGGAGGAAGATGTGGTTTGTTCAGGGGTGGGGTATGGGAGAGCAGAGATAAGAAAACGAGAAATTGAACAAAAGAAAGGAATTGAACAGTGTCAAACATCAGACTGCTCACCTGCTGGAGGTTTACTTTTAGCAAAGTTAAAGCATATGTGTAATAAAAAAATTCATTTTCTGCATTTTAATCTCTGAGAACTGTTTTGTCTCAGGCTCCTCAAATAACATTGTTGGTGGTCAAAAACTGAAAGTATTAGTTTGTATATTTTAAAAGTGTAAAATTAAAATACCTGATGAATCGATAACTTGAGCTGCTTGTCAAAGCCATGACTCTGAGAACAAAACCCAATTCTAAAAATGTTTATCTGATGTCACAGAACAGATTTTAAAACTGCAGCTACCTGCCTTCCAAAAGTTTATCTCCACTGCACCTGCACTCAAAAATACTTCTGCCTACGCACAGGAACTATTGTTTAAAGATTTTGCTGTTGATTCATCATGCAGGCTCTCCAGGAATTATTCACACTTTAAAATTATTTTTTTATTTAAAAAAAATAATGCATGCACGTGGTGAAAAGCAAACACAATTTGGTGAAACGATACAGAAAATTAAATTTTTTCTCATCCTCTCTGTAGTCCCTCTCACCAGAAGAAACCACTATCACCAGTTTTTTGTGTTCCTTCCAAAGATATTCTGAGTTCACACATACATGTGTGATGTGCACACGTGCATCCACGCACATACACAAAGCCTCCTCCTTTTCTATACAAATGGCAGCAAACTGTGTGCTTCTCTGCACCTGTTTTGTTTTCATTTCACTTCATGTACCAAAGGAGATTTTTTGGCAGCAGTGTATACATCTACACTATTGGCTGCATAATATTACATTATATGAAGTTTTCATAACTTAACCAGTCTCTTATTGGTACATGTTTAGGTTTGCAGTCTTCCTACTACAAACAGCACTAAAAACATCCCTTTACATTTATCTTTGTGGTTGGGTACACATGTTATCTATGGGACGAATTCCTAGAATTGGAGCTCTGGCGTCAAAAAAAAGATATGTGCCTTTTAAATACTGTTTGTTATAGCCCATTTGCCCCACAAAGAGCATACCAGTTTATATCCCATCAATGTAAGTGCGGTTTCTCTCAGTATCCTTGTGAATGCTTTTTATTGGGTATTTTGATCTTTGCCAAACTGATAGATGAAAATTATGTTTGGGGTACCTACGTGGCTCAGTTGGTTAAGCCTCCAACTCTTGGTTTTGGTTCAAGTCATGTGAGCTAGCTGCTTAGTGGAGGAGTTGGCTTGGGGATTCTCTCCTGCCCCTTTCCTGGCATGCTCTAGCTCTCTCTCTCTCTCTAACGTAAATAAATAAATCTTTTTTAAAAATTATGTTTTCTTGGGTTTCAATATGCCCTTTCTCTTGTCATGATCCAGCATTATTTTGTCCGGCAAGAACACTAGCTCAGGGCTGCCAGACAGGCAGATTGGAGCTCCACTTATTACTCATTATATGCCCTTTGATTTCATTTTCTTTTTCTTTCCCTTGGAGCAAAGTGAGACAAACATGTTTTTTTTAAAAAAAAGTCTTCATGGGGAAAGAAACATCACAGATGTAATAACTAAATTACTCTTTTTTTCCTACAAATCCATTCCCATTTCTCTGACCCATCTCTCATTATTTTCACCCAATCTGCCACTACCTCTTTCACATCTTTTCTTTCTGTGCCTTTTACCACTACCTCACACTAGTCAGAGACAGGAACAGTTCAGCCTTACTTCTGTGTGAACAGGTTTTTCCAAAAGTTCTCCAAGAACCATAGTCTTACTTCCTTGATGTTACCTGAAAACTATTTCTACTCAGCACCCCAGCAGAAGATTTCCAGTTCTGTGAGCACAGGTGATAACCCTGATCCCTAGTACACTGCCTGGCACACAATACACACTCAATAACTGTCTTTATAGTGACATAAAAACATATACATAAATTGTAATAAAACCTACATAACCTAAAATTTGCCATCTTAACCATCTTAAGTGAACAGTGTAGTGGCATGAAGTATATTTGCATCTCAGTGGTTTTCTTTTAGATAAATGAATAAGTTGTGATATTGGTTATTTGTCCCTGAAAGTTAACAAGAGCCAGACCATCATTTTAATTCACATTGTTCTTCCCTCCAGACGAAGTCATACGGAAGCGTCTCTTAATTGATGGAGATGGTGCCGGAGATGATCGAAGAATCAATCTGCTAGTGAAAAGTTTCATTAAATGGTGCAACTCCGGGTCCCAGGAAGAGGGGTATTTCATCTCACTGTTGTTTCAATACCAATGTCCTGATGAGAGTTTAAACCAATAGACGGGCCTGTCAATATTTCAGATTTTCACTCACCTTCAATGTCCAGTGGAGGCAACTCTCGGTTCATCCAAGTATAGATTTTTCTAGCCTTTATTTCTCTTCAGAGGCCTACTTTATAAATGTGCAGAAGGTGTAGTGGTAAGAAACAAGCATTAAATTCTGGCTTATTAAGCTGGTCACTTTTAGCAGAGAAACATTTAGTTAGATAAAATATCTAAATGAAATTTTCTCTTTTCAGATTTTTTTCTTTTTCTTTTTTTCTTTTCTTTTTTTTTTTTTTTTCTTAAGTAAGCTCTAGGCTCAATGTGGGGCTTGAACTCACAACTCTGAGATCAAGAGTTGCCTGCGCTACCAACTGAGCCAGCCAGGTGCCTCAATTTTCTCTTTTTTTAATAAGCTAATAAAAAGTTGCTGCAAGATTTTATATATTTTTAATAACTTTTTGCCTTAGAAAAATTTCCCTCACTTGAATTAGCTTTTCACATAAATCATTATAAAGAGTGAAAAAATTGTGAAAATAAAATTGTGAGAATAAGAAATTATCTTGATTAAAAGATTTTAAAAAGTGGGACACCTGGGTGGCTCAGTGGTTGAGCATCTGCCTTTGGCTCAGGTCATGATCCTGGAGTCCTAGGATCCAGTCCCATGTTGGGTTCCCTGGGGGGAGTCTGCTTCTCCCTTTAAAAAGTTAAAAATAAATAAATTTTTAAAAAGTATTTTAAACTTATATTGGTAAGAACAGCAGGCCTATCTTTGCACTTGTAATTAAAGCAATTTATAAATTCAAGTACACCACATTAGGAAAAATTAAACATAAATGAAAGATATTCTAAATTATTTTAAATAAAGCAAATGATTCAGAACTTGATAGGATTTAATTGGTAAATCTTTGCCTGTACTAGAATGGTTCAACTTTGGTATTTCACAAAAAATCTTCATTCTGTTTCTCTTTTTCATTAGATACAGCCAGTACCAACGAATGCTGAGCACACTGTCCCAATGTGAATTTTCAATGGGCAAAACTTTGCTGGTATATGATATGAATCTCAGAGAAATGGAAAATTATGAAAAAATTTACAAAGAAATAGGTAAAGAAACGTAAATTAATGTTTCCATGTAATTTTAATTTTTATGGTCTAAAGGAGACAATGTCTGCTAACATTTTTCTTTGGTTAGTGGTAAAATAGTAACAATGACAATATTAATAGAAAGAACATTGTAAACGTTAGCTACAAAACTGTACTCTGGTATGATTGCAATACTTTGGGTTATAGCTGTTTTTTAAATACCAGCATCTATTTTATTAGCAATGGAATTTAACACATTTTAAAATTGAAAATGGATGAGATTATACATGTTGTTACAACTATTTTTAAAAGAACCTTTTCGTATAGAATGTAGCATTGCTGGAGCACATGAAAAAATTGCTGAGTGCAAAAAGCAAATTCTTCAAGCAAAGCGAATACGAAAAAATCGCCAAGGTAAGGGTTTTGTGGGATTTAGTGTGCAAATACTTTATTATTGAGTTCTATTTTCATGCAGTTTTTAATGTTGTGTGGTAAAATCTTCAAGAATCAACCTGCATTATTAAAAAGAATTAGAAGCTAAACTTATTCTTTAAAACTGTATTATTATTTAAAATAGTGGATGAGGAAGGCTATGCTGAAAAACTTTTTTTTTTTTTTTTTTGCTGGATTGTACTAATTATCCAAATATTTCTTAAATTTTTTTTTTTTTTTTTTTAACTATCTTCAGACCCCTTTGCCTAAGTCATGGTATGGCTAATCAGCAAAGGCAATTCACACAAGTAAATTATATGTTTGTTATTTGTTTGTTTCATGGAGTTACTTTCCAGAAAAAAGAAAAGAATTTAAGCTCAGTGAGTTTTTATTAAGTACAAAACAAATGAACAGTTGCAAGCTGCCTAAATATCTAATAAGAGAAAGGTGAAAATTTAGCTTTGTCCTGATCTCTTTTGTTTTTTAATTAGGGTAATGTCCTCCTTGCAGTCCATAAAAACTATTTCAAAATAATTTTAATGGCCAGGACATTGCTCCTGCTAGAATGTAAATGGAAAGAAAGGAAGATAGAAAATATAATACAAAAAAATATATATATAATACATAATCACAATTGTGACCTATATATGAAAAACTAGAAGGAAATGGAAAATGTTAAAGATTATTTTGGAGCTGTGGGTTTTTATAGGTTAAAAAGACCATCTGGTCTTTTTTTCCTGCACTGATCATGTATTATTTTGTAATCTTAAAAAAATTTTTTTAATCACACTTTTATTGAATTAAAATGCTGATTTCCAAAACAATAAATTTTACTTTTTAATGAGCCAATTAAGATCTTTGGTTCCTTATTTTAAAAAGTTTGATTTTGAACTTGTTCTAAAATACAAGTGGTCAAGTTCGGTGGCCAATTTACAGCAGGATTTACCAACTTATTTGGTAATTATTATCAATCTAAAATCATTTGAAAAGGTTTCACAGTGTTTTTCTCGATTAGTTGAGGCTTTTAAATGAATGCTGCCATTCATCAGGTCAAGGTTAACAGGAAATAACAGGGAAACTTGGAAGTCTCAGTGGAAAAGAAAGAAGGAATTTTATCATTTCTGAATTTTAAATCGTTTCTAAGTTGCTGAAATCTTTACCTTTAGAATGAGAATGAGAAGTATAATTTGCCATTGCTAAGATCTGAAATGAATGGTAGGATATATTTACCCCGCAGATCTTTTCTTTGCTGGGCAAATAGTGAGTAAGATCCTCTTTAGAATCGGTGCACTTAATGATCAATAAATAGCCTAAATTCACTTACACTATGCTGGCCTCTTATATCCTGCCCAAGGATAAGTCAATGGAAAAATAGAGTGGGAGCAAAAGTCCTTGTTTGGAACAATTTTGAAATCATGCACCATTATAGTTAGAGTTGAACCAAGTGATATTGGCAGTACTCTTTCCATCCCTCAGTGTTTGTTTGTTTGTTTTTTTTATAGTCATTCTGCATTTTATTTCCAAACCAGTAATCATGATATATTTTTCCATATTTTTTGACATTTAGCTTTTTTTTTGTATATTTTTTATTGGTGTTGATTTGTCAATATATAGCATAATACCCAGCGCTCATCCCATCAAGTGCCCGTCACCAGTCACTCCATCCCCCCGCCCACCTCCCTTTCCACTACCCCTTGTTCCTTTCCCAGAGTTAGGAGTGTCTCATGTTCCGTGACCCTCACTGATATTTCCCACTCATTTTCTCTCCTTTCCCCTTTAATCCCTTTCACTATTTTTTATATTCCTCAAATGAATGAGACCATATAATGTTTGTCCTTCTCTGATTGACTTCACTCAGCATAACACCCTCCAGTTCCATCCATGTCAAAGCAAATGGTGGGTATTTGTCATTTCTATTGGCTAAGTAATATTCCATTGTATACACAGACCACAGCTTCTTTATCCATTCGTCTTTCGATGGACACCGAGGCTCCTTCCACAGTTTGGCTATTGTAGACATTGCTGCTATAAACATTGGGGTGCAGGTGTCCATTTTTTTCATATCCATGTTCAAAGAAACCTTAATTTGTTAAATATTTTTATATCTTTCAGAATATGATGCTTTAGCAAAAGTGATCCAGCACCATCCAGACAGGCATGAGACATTAAGGTAAGTTTAGAGTTTACTTTGAAAGGAACTATCTTTATATATAAATATTTACATATTAGTCTATGTATTCCATTTTTACAGAAGTACATAATTTGTTTCAGAAGGAGGGGTTCAGATCTTCCAAATTACATATTCTATTACCGCTTGATTGAATTTTTTCCTTCCTCTGAACTGTCTATATTCTAAATTAAATGCATATAATATATATCAAACAAAAATAGATAAATAGAATGTGGCATGGTTATATAATAGAATACTAAATGAGCTGTTTATTTTTTTTTTTAAGATTTTATTTATTTATTCATGAAAGTCACAGAGAGAGAAGCAGAGACATAGGCAGAGGGAGAAGCAGGTTCCCCATTAGGAGCCCGATGCAGGAGTTGATCCCAGGACTCTGGGATCATGACCTGAGCCAAAGGCAGACGCTCAACCACTGAACCACCCAGGTGTCCCTAAATGAGCAATTTAAAAGAGCAAACTAGATACACACTATTTTTTTTAGATACATACTTTTTAAACTCAGATCTCAAAAACATAATCAGTGAAAAGAAAAACAGAAGATGTAATGAATTTTAAGTTACTCCAAAGTCTCTGTAACACATGCAGAATAATAACCATTTATAAAAGCTACCCACCATTATATACTGATACCATATATTATTTAGAGAAACAAATATATGTATGGAAAAGGATTGGGGGACACTTGGGTGGCTCAGTGGTTGAGCATCTGCCTTCAGCTCAGGGCATGATCCCGAAGTCCTGGGATCAAGTCCCACATTGGGCTCTTCACCAGGAGCCTACTTCTCCCTCTGCCTATGTCTCTGCCTCTCTCTGTGTTCTCATGAATAAATAATATATATATATATATATATATATATATATATATATATATATATATATATATATATAAAGGATTGGAATGATATAGTAATTGCGTGAGTAGGGAGCAGAGGAGGAGAAAAGGTCTGGTATAGAGGACAGCCAATAAGGTTCTAAGAAGATTTCAAGTTAATCTGCAATGTTTTATTTCTTTTACCAAGGGAGAAAAAAGAAAGAAGACAGACATTTTTTGTCAAATAAGTATGATAAATGATAAAATGTTAAAAGTTACCAATTCTTGGGGTGTGATAATCTATTATCTGTGTTTTCCTATGTTTTAAAAATTATCTAGAAATTTGATTTAATAAAAAAAAAGTGCATACTTAGAATTTAAGAAGAGATCATCCCTAGCTTGAAAGTTTCATCATGGGGATGCCTGGGTGACTCAGCGGTTGAGTGCCTGCCTTCCGCCCAGGGCATGATCCTAGAGTCCTGGGATCAAGTCCCACATCGGTCTCCATGCAGGGAGCCTGCTTCTCTCTCTGCCTATGTCTCTGCCTCTTTTTCTCTGCGTCTCTCATGAATAAATAAATAAATAAATAAATAAATAAATAAATAAATAAATAAATAAATAAATAAAATATTTAAAAGTTTCATCATAATGGGGTATAATAATTTCTTATCCTTTTTTTTTAAGATTTTTATTTATTTATTCATGAGAGACACACAGAGAGAGAGAGAGGCACAGACACAGGCAGAAAGAGAAGCAGGCTCCCTGCATTGAGCCCGATGCGGGACTTGATCCTGGGACTTCAGGATCACACCCTGGGCCGAAGGGAGGCGCTCAACCACTGAGCCACCCAGGCAGTCCCATTTCTTGCCCTTTTTTAAAATTTTTAAAATACTACTTAGTAACTAAAAAGTTAGGTATTAATTTTGAATTCTGTTCCCCCAATTAGCAAACTATAATACTGTTTTATCATTTTCAGGGAACTAGAGTCCTTGGGAAAAGAACTAGAGCATCTTTCACATATTAAAGAAAGTGTTGAAGATAAGGTATTTGCACACATATATTAGTCTCTGTAACGTGTATATGTGTATAGATCAATGTGTATTAATTTTTTCTCATTTAATACAGCTGGAATTGAGACGGAAACAGTTTCACGTTCTACTTAGTACCATCCACGAACTTCAGCAAACACTAGAAAGTAAGTAGAAATAGTCACAGTATGAATATTTATAATGACCAAGGAAATTACTACCCAGCCAGGCCAGGGATTTGTTGCTATTTCTACCTGACAGGATTTGATCATAGTCAGGGACTGATGACCATGCAGGTTTCCTGTCCTTCCCCTTTACAAATGGGAGGTTTTAGACTTTTTTTTTTTTAATTTTTTTTTAATTTATTTATTTATGATAGTCACAGAGAGAGAGAGAGAGGCAGAGACACAGGCAGAGGGAGAAGCAGGCTCCATGCACCGGGAGCCCGATATGGGATTCGATCCCGGGTCTCCAGGATCGCGCCCTGAGCCAAAGGCAGGCGCCAAACCGCTGCGCCACCCAGGGATCCCGAGGTTTTAGACTTTTAGGTGATCCAGGGCCATACCTTTTAAAATATACATCTTATTGAGAGTGTACACCTTCAGTTTCAGAACAGAAGTATATAGCTGGATGATGTTAGAAGGTATTCATGCTATTCAGCTTCCTGCGTATATGCAGGAAAGCCTGAATGTGTAGTAATACATGAGTTAAAATACACATCCAGTGGTTCACATTAAGAAAGTCAAGGATGATAGATTTGGAACTCTTCTTGGTTATTATAGTTTATTGCTATGAAGTAACAATTCAGGACCCAGGCAGGCAGTGGTGAGTGAGTGAAGTAATTAGTGCATAAGCTCATTTGCATAGTCAGTGAATGGAAGGTGCTTTGGGGAACTGGAGACCTGCTCCTTGTATTGACTGTCTCCAGCTGGAAATTTTTTTTTTAAGATTTTATTTATTTATTGACACAGAAAGAGAGAGGCAGAGGCACAGACAGAGGGAGAAGCAGGCTCCATGCAGGGAGCCCGATGTGGGACTCGATCCTGGGTCTCCAGGATCACACCCCAGACTGCAGGCGGCGCCAAACTGCTGTGCCCCCAGGGCTGCCCTCCAACTGGAAATTTCTATGTTACATGACCTCTTTATTGTTTTTTTTTTCTTATGTTTTTAAGAAAAACCTAAAACCTAGATTTTTTTTAATGTATCCTATCACATAGATTTTACATTTTGAGTTAACTAATGAACACCAGCAACCAAAACAGCATTTTTAAAACCAAACACTGTGTGAGCTGATGACAGTCATAGGCTGCCATTTTGCCATTTTTGTTTCAAATATATCACCTAATAAAGGATAAAAATGTTGTCATGTATTCATTAAACATATAATTTAAGCAAATTTGACTGAAGTTTCATGGTTCTTCTCAATTGCAGATGATGAAAAGCTCTCAGAGGTAGAAGAAGCTCAAGAAGCCAGCATAGAAACAGATCCTAAGCCATAGACAAGCTAATCATTGACCATTCCCAAGAATGTGGAAGTAACAGCATGCGCCTAGTGTGTTTAGAATTTGTTGTGTTCTTGAGATACTTAAAGTTTTGGCAGTAAACTACTTTCCTGTCAAATATTAATGCACAGTTCATTCATATTTCTTTACACAAAACAAAAACTTCAGTATAGATTTGTTTGTATTGGGGAAACCCGGGTTGCTCAGCAGTTTAGCGCCGCCTTCAGCCCAGGGCGTGACCCTGGAGACCCGGAATCAAGTCCCATGTCGGGCTCCCTGCGTGGAGCCTGCTTCTCCCCTGCCTGTGTCTCTGTCTCTGTCTCTGTCTCTCTGTCTCTGTGTCTCTCATGAATAAATAAATTTTTAAAAAATTCTTAAAAAAAAAAGATTTGTTTGTATTGAAATGTCTTTTTTATTCTTAAAAGAGGAAGCAATACCCAGAAATGTTTAATAAAATGTTTTCAAGCCAGATATGTTTGTGTTTGTGTTCATTAGTATTCTAAGTAGTTTTTTAACTGGTGAGACTGGCTTGCTTATAAAATAAGTTAAAGATTGTGAGAAAGTAGCATTTCTAGGATATGCATGAAAAAAATGAGTCAATCTGGAAATTGTTAACCACCTTTGAAAATGGAGTTCATGAACAGACTTTGTGAGGGCTGTGAACTTGTGAAATTGTATACAAGGTGTTGGTGATATGTGCTTATCTGGGGAGAGGTTTCCGGATCCTCATACTCACAATCAATGGTGTAAGAGCTAATCACAAGATGCAAAATAAATCAATATACATTGCTTTCTAGGTCTCTGTAATACTTGAGCAGTATGGCTGTTAAACATTTTGTTGATAAGATTTCTTCTACTGTTTCATTATTTAGCGGTCATTTTCAGTAGAAACAACATTGACAAAGAAAAAGTTGTCTCAGAAAAATAGTCTGTTAAGATAGTCAATCTTGCATGAAGGATTTAATGATCCTAACAATTGAGCTAAGGCTGAATCAGTTGTAATTTTCTTAAGTAGTGAATTTAACGTTCAATACTTGTTAGGTTCCACCCTTACCCACTTGTTTTAGTTCGGAAAGCATGACTCTTTGCATGAATCATACCTTAAACAGTGTTACATTTTTGTAATTTTAATAAGAATTCTTATCTTTATAAGTATGAAAGTTTAAATTTAGCTCAGTAGTAGTCATATTAAAAGTGTCATAATACCTTTAAATGCTTCCTTTAATTTCATCTGGCAAATCCTGGGAGAAATTTATTTGCAGAGTTGCTATGCCCTAATAAGCATTCCTGTTTTCCAATATTAGTAAGAATTATGAAGCAAAAATTTACTAACATTGACTCAGAATCAAAAATCAATTTTTCAAAAAAAGGATTTTTTTTAAGGACTGTTGGGTAGAATATTCTAAGAAATGTCCATCTCCCCAACTGATTAATTCACTAGAGAGATTTATTCAGGATTATGTACCAAAAGATAAGAATTCCTATAAAAAATAACTTTTATGAAGTCAGGAGCAAATCAGAAGCAGCAGCAGGTACATGGGAAACACACATTTTTCAATTTATACTTCCTCATGGTTCTCTTGGATATCCTCTGGAACTGCTTCGAAGACTGAAGAATTTCGTCCCCTAAAAATTCACACTGTTGAAGCTCAGCGTGTCTTTGGGCCAATAACTGCATGGATTTATCTGTCACTGTTTCTATGAGGTCATCCACCTATGACAGACAGATACAAAGAAATGTAGCCATATGTTGGGAAGCCTTGTCAAAACCTAAGAGACCACTTCAGGAATCAGTGGATGTTTTGCAAATCCCAAAGTATTCCTCTAATTCAAGTCATAGCAAACAGAGCTTGAAAACATAACATTTACCACCCAGTGGTAAAGGGAATCTCATTTCTTCTCAAAAGAAGCCTTTGTGCATGCCTTCATGTTAATTGAATTCACTTAATATTTATTAGGCACACAGCATCATCCTGGGTGACCTTAGCAATCCTTTAGCCACTCTCAGGATCCCCCCTACTAACATACTTCTTCAAGCTAATAATTAATTTCATCGCACAACCATGCTGCCTAGCAGGGCTGTGTATTCAGTTCAACTTGGCCCTCTGTGATGTATCTGAAACACAAAGCGAAAGCCTTTGCCCACTACCTGCATTTGAAGTTTTCCAACTGTCAAGTCTGATTTTCGGAGGATGTTTCCCACGCTAGGTTTCTTTTTTTTAAGTGCTGGAAAATGTGATCTCTTTTTTGATGAATACGGAACCTATCATAAAAACGCAAAAACACAGCAGATTAAGAAGTACCCATATTATTTCTGTGATAGTGCTTAAATAAGAATTCTCACCCTTGGGACATTGTCTTATAAACTGAACATTTGCCACATAACAACGTTGGGTTGGAGAGCGTATTCATATTATCCTCCACGCCCCATGTATCTCCTTTGTGCCCAAAGCTCTCTTTGAAGAGATCTATAGGGTGCAGAGAAATGAGATTGTCTGGTTCTGAAAGAATATACAGTGTCAGGAAAAAAGCAGGTCACTAGCAAGGGGAAGAAGAAGAAATTGCCTCTGTGGCCGCTGAGCGCAGTGAGAGTGTGGGGCTGCTGAGGACCAGTGTCCCAGAAAGCTCATTATCCCTGGATCTAGTTGTTAATTTGGTCTCTTTTCTATAGGTTTCCTTATTTTCATAGCAGACATGCCTCCAAACATAAAAAGAAGGCTCTGGGTTCTTTTCGCCCCATGCCTGCTAGTTTTCCTAGTGTCCCTGGCTTGCTGGTTATAAGTACCTGCCCTAATAGGATTGCTATTGGAAATCATTCCTAGGTCAGGGCTGCTGGCTAATAGGCCCTTTTTAGTCTTACTGGGTTCACTCTTCCTTCACGTAGTAACTAATATTGAGACTATTGTGAAACCTACACAGAGTGGGATGTCGGAGTATATCTGGGACCTACGCTGTGTCTGAGTTTACAAAGGAGTCTGCTGACCCACCACTCTGCCCTGCCAACTTGCCCAGGCTCCCATGTCACTTGTAGGACCCTCCCCAATCCATCTATATATATAGTTGGACTCCACTTTTTTTCTCTCCCATAAAACCCAGTACTTTTTCCTACTGAACGAATGCTTACCACAACACTTACTGAACACTTACTAAATTACTTCTCTGTTGAATACCGCTATTCTAAAGTCAAATGCCTACACAGTTCAGGTAGGTTGTACAAAACAGGACCAGTTGCTGCTACTGGTAATCTGGAGAGAATGTGCCTCCCACCAAGGGGCCAGTCTCTGCACATCTCCTGTTGTTATCATGAGGAATTGTAGGCCTAATGTTTTGAAATCCTACTTTTCAAAAGAAGACTTAAAATCCAGATTTTTAAAAAATACTCTAATTTTTAAATGTGACCAGTTAATGCAAATATATTATTGAGGTCATTCTGAGAGCTAAACAAAACGTTTCGCAGCCAGTTGACAACCTTTGATTTAAGTCTTTTGCTGAACAGCAATCTTACTATATAACCAGATGTATCCTTTTTTTTTTCTTTTTATGGTCAGTGATACTTGTGTCCTAAGAAGTATTTTCTCTATACTGAAGTCATTTCTTTCAACTTCCAGAAGTTTTAAGGTTTTACCTTTTCCACACAAATCTATAACCCAACAGAAATTAATTTTTTTTAAGATTTTTATTTATTTACTCATGAGAGACACACACAGAGAGAGGCAGAGACACAAGCAGGCTCCATGCAGGGAGCCCGACGCAGGACTCGATCCCTGGTCTCCAGGATCACGCCCTGGGCTGAAGGCGGCGCTAAACCACTGAGCCACTGGGGCTGCCCAGGAATTAATTTTTGTATACAGTGTGAGATAGGAATCAAATTTCTTTTTTTAATATTTTATTTATTTATTCCACCCAGGGACCCCCCAAATTTCTTTTTCTCCATATGGACACCTACTTGTCCCAGTGCCATTTATTCAAAAGATTATCCTTACTTCAGTGCTCTGCAGAGCTGTGGTTTAATATCTATCCCCCTAATAGATTATAAATTTCACAAAACAGGACTATATCTATTGGATCTTTTTGCCCCCAAACCTAGAAATCACCCATTATAAAGTAGGAGTACAGTAAATGTCAACCAAGCACACAAAAAGCAAAATGCAGGACGCCTGGATGGCTCAGTGGTCCAGTGTCTGCCTTCAGCTCAGGGCATGATCCTGGAGTCCTGGGATCCAGTCCCACATTGGGGTCCCTGCATGGAGCCTGCTTCTCCCTCTACCTATGTCTCTGCCTCTCTCTGTGTGTCTCCCATGAATAAAAAAATAAAATAGGGATCCCTGGGTGGCGCAGAGGTTTGGCGCCTGCCTTTGGCCCAGGGCGCGATCCTGGAGACCCGGGATCGAATCCCACGTCGAGCTCCCGGTGCATGGAGCCTGCTTCTCCCTCTGCCTATGTCTGTGCCTCTCTCTCTCTCTCTCTCTCTCTCTCTCTCTCTCTCTCTCTCTCTCTCTCTCACTGTGTGCCTATCATAAATAAATAAAATAAAATAAATTTTTAAAAAAATTCCTCAGTTTAAAAAAAAATAAAATAAAATAAAATATTTTTTAAAAAAGGCAAAATTCAAAACTAATATTGGCATATTCTAACAATGATACCCCAGAACAGCTCTGTTCAGTAGAACTTTCTGCAAAAACAGCCTCAGGCCACATGCTGTTATTTAGCACCTTGAAATGTAGTAAGTGCAACTGAGGAAATGAACCTTATTTTTAATTAAATAGTCACATATACCTGGTGGCTACCATTTTGGACAGAAGTATAATTAGTATGTAGCCTAGTAGTTATGAGTAAGGACTCTAGAGTCAGATCTTCCTGGATTTGAAACCTGTCTCTGCCACTTATCTAAGTAAATTATTTAACCTCTCAGAGTTATCCCTAAAATAAGGATAGTATTGCTACCTACCTTTTATTCATTTATCTTTTAAGATTCTATTTTTAAGTAACCACTATCCCTTATGTGGGACTTGAAGTCATGACCACAAGATCAAGTCGCACACTCTTCCAACCGAGCCAGCCAGGCACCCCTATTACTATCTACATGATTAGACTGTTGCAATTATCATCTGAGTTGATATTTCCAAAGCACTTAAAACTGAAACAAAATCAGCTCTAAGTAAATATTTGTTGTATTTAAAATAATAATAATTCAGTTGATTTAAAAAAATAGTGTGAGCAATTTAGGCTGAAGCTTACATATGCACAGATAATTATAGGCTTTGGTTTGGACACTCTTGGATTGTACCACCACACTGTCTTTACATGTGGCTATCTTTTCATTTCAATTACAATGAAATAAAATAAAAAATTCAGCTTTTTAATTGCACTGGCCAGATTTCAAGTTCAAAAGATACATGTGGTTGGGGCCTCTGGGTGGTGCAGTCAGTTAAGCACTGGACTCTTGGTTTTGGCTCAAGTCATAAACTCAG